CACACACACACACACACACACACACACACACACACACACACACACACACACACACACACACACACACACACACACACACACTATTGTGTGAAGATTGTGTGAAGATCCTCTTGTTAGGTGTTAGCTGATATCCAGTGTCATCACCATTACCCATAAATTGCCCTTTTGCCAAATTGGTATTTGATTAACCTACAGTGATGCAACAGTGATGCAACAATTATTTTCCTTTTTAATTCAAATGCCTTGTCTGTTTCATTTCTATAAATCAAACACAAATAAACGTGTGTAAGATGTTGATTTATTTGGTTTCAGTTAAAATTTCTTCCTCGTTCAAAAACCCAACTGTGGATTACTTCTTAGGAAGAATTTGACAAATAATGTGTAAAACTAAATGTTCATGCAGACATGTCCTACAACATCTATATAATCGTATAGACAACAATTTCACATGCACAAGGTAGTCATTCACCTCTATGCACATTATACACGAGTCAAGTATTTATTTCCACTTTCAGGCCTGTCACCTTCATCTCATCACCAGAGGGCGCTCCCACCAAACAGGAGGAACCTTGTGTGAGAGTCAGCTGCTCTGGCCACACTCGAGCTGGACAGGTGACTTGTTCAGATTGAAAAAGCCTGAGAAGATCATGATCCACCGACTTTAACTATTCTGAATCCTTTACATTACTGATCCTCCGGCCTCGTCCTTACAGGAGCTGTGCTACCTGTGCATGCAGCGGGCCCAGAGAAATGTCCCAGTGTACCTGAGGGAGCAGGAACAGGCAGAGGAGAAGGCTCGGGACAAACTCCTGCTGCTCAAAGAACAACAGAGAGACAAGCAGCGCATGGAGGAAGAACAGGTTTGTGTGACAGCAGGGGTCGTAGGTCACACACCAGTATGCACAACAACAATAGGAGGTAAAATGTCAACCTGATGATGACAGCGCTAATCAGGGCATCACCAATGTTGTTAGGATTCATCCTCTGGGGAGAATGAATGTCTGAACCAAATAACTTCTGCAGTCCATTCAACAGTTATTGAAATATTGCAGTCGATCCACAGGCTGATCCACAGGCTGTCACACTCTTGTCCACTTGTGTGCATTTTCTCTTAAAAACTCTAAAATATCTTAATACATATATACACATTTATTTTCTATTATATTTAAACCTGTTTCACCTCACCCATGGCACGGTTTGATTCACAGGTGTTTTGGGATATTTCTTTTGGTTTCTGTTCGAAGAAAAGACAAGATCTGAAAACCACAACAAATAGACTGAGGAAGTGGAAACTTAAAGCAAGATAAAACTGAAAGTATTCTCACAACACAGTAAAGGCACTGAAATGTTTCACAAGAAAGAAAAAAAAAGAAAGAGGTAACAGTAAAAACTCTCTCAACATTTGAGGAGTTAAGGGTGGTTCTGCTCTGGGGTCAGTGAGCTGAGACCAAGGCATCATCCCTTTTTCCAGCACTTGGAAAAAAGTGTGGGACACCAGGGAAATTAAAATTCAAAACTACTTTAATGTTGTTTTTGCCAGTATTACTTCGTGGTCCAATAAACCAGCCTCCAAAACTCTAAGCATGTCCCAAGAAGTCATCAGGGCAACAACCCTCTGAGAAAGCACATTTCTTTACCCTGATTAGAGTATTCCAAACTGTCCCTCACCCTATTTTGATCATCGTGATGATATGATGTTTTTTGTGTGTTTATCTGGCAGGAAAGGCTGAATGAGCACCGTGAGCATTCAAAGCAGGTCGCTACATTTAACCTGCAAATGTCAGCAAAGAAAGAGAAGAGTTGTCCCCTGTACCCTGTGAGTATAGAACCTGCAGCCTGATGGATCAACAGTTCAGTCTTTAACAAGTTCATCTTTATATGCAGTTTATGG